TTTCCCCTTTTCTTCTGTGTTTTGTACTTTCTTAAGTGTTTCATGTGGTTTGGTGGCAGCGTAAATTCTTAGGGATTGGATATCTGGGAAAGATTTTAATTCTCACTGATGAAGCTTAATCTGGCTGGGTAGGTTATTCTTGGTTGAAATTGTTTATCAATTTGAAGATAGAGCTCCAAGCTCTCCTAGCTTGCAGGGTTTCTGTAGATAAATCTGCAACTATTCTAATTGGTTTTCCATGGTAGATGATCTGGCCTTTTTCTCTTGCTGCCTTTAGGATCTTTTCTTTTATGCCTACTTTGTTTAGGTGAATTATTATGTGTCTAGAAGTTGGTCTTCTCATTTGTTGTCTTGCAGGGGTTCTCTGAATCTCTTGTGTTTGAATTTTTGCATATTGATTAGATAAGGGAAGTTTTCTTGAATGATTTCATGGAAGGTTTGTTCCAGTGTGGTTTCTGTCTCTCTTTCTGCCTCAGGAAGGCCAATTACTGTTAGATTCGGTCTCTTGAAGAAATTGCTCATGTCTTGAAGGTTTTTTTCTGCCTTTTTGAGCTTGTTTTCTGTGTTTTTGAGAGTTTGGGTTAGTTCTATATTTTGGTTCTCAAGCTCTGAGATTCTTTCTTCTGCTTGGGTAATTCTGCTTTCCATGCTTATCAGTTTGTTATTAATTCATTCACAGTATTCTTTATTACTGTTATCTCAGATATCAGCTCCTTTCTAGTTTCTTCTTGAGTCTCCTCTGTTCTTTTTAATCTCTCCATTAATGTCCTGATATCTAGGTTTGTAGTTTGAGACCAGTCATTCTGGGGCCTCTTCATTGTTTGCATTCCAAAGTCAGTTTTCTCAGTGTCTCCCTTCCCAGGGGTCTGGGAGAGACCCATATTCTTCTTTTGGTTTTTCTTCATTTGTGTAGATTTTTCTCTTGTCCCTGGAGCAAAAGGAGGTACAAAAGAGGAAAATAATGGAGGAAGGGGGAGTCAGTAGGAAGTTAGAAAGAGAGAAGAGTGAGATGGAAAACAGACATCCATACCAACTAACAGGTGAAAAAGAGACACAAGGCCGGAGAGAAGTGAAAAAAAAACACAGAAGGAAAATTCCCTAAAGAATACTGGTAGCTACACAGAGACAGACCAATAAGATCATTAAACAGATAGTGTAAGTTAGCAAACAATAGTGAGCAAAACATACAGTCAGATTGATAAAACCAAAGGTCACAATAAGAGATCAGACTAGTTCTGTAATCTTTCCTTAGTGGCTAAAGTCACTTGAGCTCTGATCTCCAGCCTCTCCCCTTTGTTTTTGTTGCAGGCAACTAGCCTGCTGCCTGGGAGGTCTGTGACTCTTAGTTGTCTCAGTCTCAGTCTGTTCAGTGTAGAGGAGGGGCTTTGTCTCCTGTTTAATGACTCTCCGTCACTGTGGGAACTGAGGTGGAGGCTCTGATAGGTGGGCAGGGCGATGCAAATCTGCCTGGAGAATGGCGGAGGTGGTAGCTTCACTTTCACTTTTAGGGATGCTCGTCTTGGTCTCTGGGCGCGATCAGCTGCACAGGTGGGCACTGGATCCGGGTTGTCACCAGCAGGCTGGGGTGGAGGAGAGGGTCGGGCGTTCCCTCCTCTGGAGGTGGAAGCCTCCAGTCAGCACTTTACATAAGCTTGGGGTTCTGCTCCCTTACACAAGCTTGAGGTCGCATGCTGAGTGCCTCAGGCAGTGTAGGCCTGGGCTCCAGAGCTCCAAAGCTCCAAAGGGCAGGTGGTGGCCCTGGGTCCCCAGGGCACTTCAGCCAGAAATGGGACTGATATCTCTGAGGGGTGGGCGCCCAGAGCCTCCCTGGGTGACCGGCAGTTTGGTGCTGGGTGCTGGGCGAGACAATATAACCAGGGAGTTATCACATATAGTGGAGTAGCTGGGGGCCGCAATATCTGGCCCTGCATGGGACCGAAGGTCCCCGGGCCTTGTACCAGTGCAGCTGGCCATGGGCAGGGGGCTGTGGGAAGAAAAGTAAGACTCTTTTTGGGAACTCACATTCGGAGAGTCTCACGAATCCACCTCTGTCGTTGCCATCTTGTGGATTGTCCCCCGCCAGAATTACTTTTAAGTTTGACACCTATCACCAAATTGCCTTGTAAGAGGATATATATGAGCAATCCTATTTAAGAATTATTCTCATATCTATTACATCAGGCACAATCAGGATAGCTTTTTTTCAGAAATTGAAGGCCTAAGTGAGAATGTTTTAAAAAGCAAAACTTTACAAGAAATAAATGTTTAAAAATTTAGCTACATAAATGGTAGTTTGATTATACTTTAGCTTATTTTTGTAGACTAGTAGATAAGTCAATAGCTTTAACAGTTTCTTATGGAATAAAGAAGGTAATTTCAGACTCTATGCATATATATGTGCAAATATATCTTAACTTTTTATTTCTACCTCCTGTCTTTGATGGTTTTACCCATTCAATCAGTTTGCTAGGGCTGCTGTAACAGAATACCACAGACTGGGTGGCTTAATCAACAGAAATTTCTTCTCTTGCTGTTCTGGAGGCTAAAAATCCAACATCAAGATGTTGACAGCTTTGCTTTCTCCTGAGGCCTCTCTCCTTGACTTGCAGATGACTGCCTTCTCACTGTGTCCTCACATGGCTTTTTCTCTGTGTGCGTATGTCTTTCCCTCTTCTAAGGATACCAATCAGATTGGTTTAGAGACACCTGTAGGACCTCTTTTAACCTTAATTACCTCTTCAGAGGCCCTGTCTCCAAATACAGTCATATTCTAAGGTGTACTGAGAGTTAGGAAATTTGAATTTGGAGGGGATACAATTCAGTCCATAACATATAGATAACCTTTAGCAGTAGTTATCTGCTCATCATTCGGAGAGTATTTAATACATCTGTGTTATTTTTTTTTTTTCAGGGTGAATCTTCTAATGGCTCAAATGATAGAGGAATGAAATCACTAGTAAATAAAATGACTGTGGCTTTAAAGACAAAGTCTGTTAATGTCAGGGAAAAAGTCATTAGTTTTATTGAGAATACATCAACTCCTGTGGACAGGTGAGTTGTTAATATAATATGAGTTTATGGTGAGTAATTAAAACTAAAGACTTAGTCTTTGAGTAAGTAAATAATAGTTGAATTAAATGTGTTTCAGAAAAGGTCTGTAAGGTCCGTTTTCTATTAGATGATTTCATAGTTTTCATTATAATTGCAGGAATTTACTTTTTTTGCTATAAAATTTGGGTACACAGATTCTTCTCTCCCATTACTCAGAATAAGATGCAAATAATGAATCTGTCCCTTCTTGCCATTTGTTAAAAAAAAAACTGTGTCCCAATATAAATTGCATTTCATATAGTAGCCACTTCCCAAATGTCAAATGCATGGAGAATCATCTACTGAATTAAGTGATCTCATAGCAGTAACTTCTTCCTCTGTTGCAGGAATTTAAAACCTAGAAAATTTGGTCATGCCAAATATAGCATACACCCACTTTCTCAAGTTTAATATTATATCTGCATAGAATTTTGTATATAAAATTTTATTTACAAAGCCCCATTTTCCTGTGAATTACAGAGGGGGGACATGTTTAACAACTGATAAACAAGTTTAAAAGTGGTATATTGTTTCTTATTGTAACTGAGTGTATATTTTTTCTCTGTGTCTCAGTCTAATTGATCTTTCTTATCCCTAGAGTTCAAAGTTAACCTTAGAATTCCAACACTGAATTTGTTTATAAGCAAGTCTTATCTTGGAAATGTGTTATAGTATTTGATATTACTTTCATGTCTTACTTGCAGTGTCCTGATAAAATTGAAATACTTGATTTTAAGTACTGAATGTCAGGAATTTGTGTATCCCTTTATTAAGTATAGTACATATGCATACAAATGCATTTTTCCTATTTAGTAAATAAATAGCAAGGAAGATAGTATGTCATTTTCATTTAACTCCAAATCTGTACCTTATCTAAAATGGTCAGCTGATAATTATTAAGATATTTTGTCAAGACTGAAAGATTTGTTGTGCAATAAAGTTACGTCTGCTCTCAAAAGCTAATCCTTTTAGTTAGTGCTTCTCAATTGGAGGACTCTTATTGCTACATTTTATAGCAAAAACATTAAAGATATTATTATAAAGTGGACTGGTGATTCCTGTGAGAAAGATTGTTGTCTTTGTTGAAGTATGACTTGAAACTGGCTTTTTTTCATTTTTCTTTGTACTTGGGATGATTGAAACATTTTCTTTATAATGTACACTCTGGTTTAGAAAAACTGATTATACTGTACTATATTTTTGTTTTAAAGCTGTTGCATTTTTTAAAATAATCATTTTGGTCTGTCCTTACCTTGATTTGCATAGAATGTCTTTCAATCTTCCTTGGCCAGACAGATCATGTACAGAGCGGTAAGCCAATGAGTAGAGCAACTTTCTTGAACTATCCTTTCCCTCCAGCATGCCTCATGCCATCTGAAAGCTTTATGCTGTCTTGGCTGAAATTTCATGCAGCTCTTTCAAATGCTAAACTTTTCATTCTGCTTTTAGCAGTATGCCATGTTGATTGATATGTTTTTGTTTATTGCTTGATCGTTTTATTTTTCCTTGCATGCTTCTTTATATCTCCCATTCCGCATATGAAAATCAAGTTTATTCAAACCCAAGAAAATAATAAAACTTGCAGTTTTTATTCAGAGACAGGGGAAAGTGAAAGAAAGTATATATGTAGTCAACAGATGGCAGGTGCTGGGCATGGTAGCTCATGCCTGTGATCCCAGCACTTTGGGAGGTCAAGGCTGGAGGATCACTTGTTCAAGACCAGCCTGGACAATATAGCAAGACCCCCATCTCTATAAAAAATGGAAAAAATTAGCCAGGCATGGTGATGTGTGCCTTTGTTAAACCAAGGAGTTCAAGTTTATAGGGACCTATGATCATGCCACTGCTCTCCAGCCTGGAAAACAGAATTAGACCCTATCTCTAAATAAATAAATAAAGAGTTAGACCCTATCTCTAAATAAATAAGAATAAATAAAGAATTAGACCCTATCTCTAAATAAATAAATAAAGAGTTAGACCCTATCTCTAAATAAATAAATAAATAAATAAATAGATAGATAGATAGATAGATAAATAAAATAATTGGCAAGGTGTTAGCTTTGGAAGTCATTTGCTTCTGTCTCCTGCACCCATAGTAGTGAAGATTATAGTATAACATCTAAAAATAGGCATAGGTCATGATTCAAAATTTTTGTTAAATCATGTATATTATGTAATTTGTATATTTTTTAATTTTTCTTAATAAAATGTGTATATTTAGGGTTGGTAACTTAACATATATAAATATATTCCAAAGAACCATAGTTCTTGAGTTCTATCTTTGGTTTTCCTTGAAAAAAATTTAGGTTGTAGTAGATATTTTAATGTATATAATCCATCACTTCTCTGCCCCAAATAAAATAGAGTATTTGTCATTAAAAGACATAGTTGGGCATAGCAGCTCACACCTGTAATCCTAGCACTTTGGGAGGTGGAGGTTAGAGGATTGTCTGAGCCCAGGGGTTAGAGACCAGTCTGGTCAACATGATGAGACCTTGTCTCTACAATAAATAAAAAAATTAGCCAGACTTGGTGGTGTGTGCTTGTAGTTCCAGCTACTTGGAAGGCTGAAGCAGAAGGATTATCTGAGCCTAACAGGTCAAGGCTGCAGTTGCCACGACTGCCACAGCACTCCATGCAGTCCAGTCTGGGCGACAGAGACTCCAACATAAAAAACAGATGAAAAAAAACCCCATACATTTTATAAGTTTAAGGTTTAAAAATCTGCTGAGTCTTCAATTAGGATGAACAAAAGAACTTAACTGACTTAATTCTGTATAGCTTTACAGTTTTTATACTCATAGAATTTTTGTGCAGTTTAATTTAGAGTATCAATTATAGCAATACCTATGAACACTTAAAAGGAAATTCTAGTCATAATGGAGGACTTTTTCTCAGGTCATTTCAGTATTTTCAGTGACTACAAGTAGCGTTTTAAAAAACAATAGTTTACTTTGTAATAAATTATCTGATAAAAGTTTTTCTTTTTTGTGACTGTTTGTACACAGTGCTAATTACAGGGCTTCTATTATAATTTTGCCTAAGACTATTTTAAAGGAAATTGCTTTCTTTAAAATTACAATCTATTTGTGAATCATCTTTCTCTTTTTTCCTGTTATAGGACCACTGAATTTGTAATTTTGTTTAACTCCTAAGTTTTCTCCCAAATTCTTAATTTTTTTAACTTAAATTAGTTCACAGGCAGATATATTTATTTGGAAAATAGAACTTAATGAAAAGTTAGAATGAATTAGATTTCTTTCTGAGCTTAGGAAAAAAAAGTTAAAACCAACTAATTTATAGATGCTTCCATTATTACTTTGGCAAAATGCAGATGCTGCTTTTTAAAAATAGTGTAGCTATTGAATTCCACTAATTGCTAGTTATTCCTTCAGGAAATATCTCAGTAATCCTTAGCATTCATGTTTCTAACAGCCTTGTATTGTATTATAAATCTAGGTCAATAATGAATAACTTATTATAACAAGATTATCTCTTTATTTGTTCTTTCTGGTTTAAGCATTTGCTGTAAACATTATCTTTATTACTTTCTATGTTGTAGTGCTTATTATGCTCTAATATCAGGAGAGAACTATAATCTCATAAAATTTTATAATCTAGATGGCACTAAAGCATTTTTAGTTAAAGCTATTGCTTTTATTTTTGCCTTTTGTAAGGAAGCTTAATCTGAGTTTCAAAAATGTTTGAATTATTTTTTATTTTTAATCTCTAAAGAGCATAGTTTGGTAGTTTATAGGGTAATTTTACATTAGACATATAAAAGCAAGTGATTTTTTGACTTGATCAAACTTACTCTTATTTTTTATTGAGGAACGTTGTTTTAGAAGAAGTAAAGATTTAAAACAGTTTCAACAAAATTAGGCTACAGGAAGATTTTTATTTATGATATATATTAAAAATAACTTAAAATATAGATTTGATCTCTATCTTCTGGCAAATTTGAGTTCTAAAACTAAGTAAAGACATGCAAATTGATTTTTTATCTTCCCATGTCAGAATACTTCTTGTCAATAGAAGGTTCTGAATGTCTTCATATATCACAGGCAAACAAATAAAACAATGCTTTCCCCCCAGAAATGTGGTATTTTGTTGAAATATTTTAATTTTACCTCTTGGTTTATTTGGCATTACCTGAGAATTGACCAGGTATTAATTTTTCTAGTAAAAAGATAAAGGTCACATTTCTTGTAGAACTAATCAAGCTCTAGTTTACATGTTATTTATGTTTCTGCCTCTTGAAAAGGAAAGGCAGATATATGGTTTATTAATATTTATACAACAGCCAGGCTTGGTGGCTCAGCCTGTAATCCTGTGCTTTGGGAGGCTGAAGTGAGTGGATTGCCTAAGCCGCGAGTTCGAGACCCGCCTGGGCAACTTGGCAAGACGTCATCTCTCCAATAAATCAAAAAAATTAGCCGGGCGCGGTAGCGCACGCCTGTAGTTCCAGCTACTTGGAAGGCTGAGGCGGAAGGATCGCTGGAGCCCAGTAGTCGAGGCTGCGGTGGCCAGGAGTGTGCCACTGCACTCCAGTCTTGGCAACAGAGAGAGACTCCAACTCAAAAATATATATATATATTTATACAACAGAAGTATAATGAGTTTCAATTAAGATAAAATTAGCAATAATAAATAATGGGAGGAAAAACCTTAAGACGTTTGCACTTATATGAGAATCCTTGAGCATTCCTATTGGAATTTGAATACTTGATTCCATGAGCTGTTTTGTCTAACAAACATGCATGTAGCACCTGCTATCTACCAGGCATTGTTCTAACACCTTTACCAAAAAAATTAACTAATTCTTACAATAACTCTGAGGGGTGGATATTGTTATCGCCATTTTACAGAGGAAGAAACAGACACGAGGAAATAACTTCCTTTAGGCCAAACAGATCCAAGCATGGTTTTAATATAAATATGAATACTATAAATAATTAAAGTTGTTTAAAATTTAATTTTTACAGATTTGAGAGCATTCAGCTCATCAAGTCTTTACGCCACTTTTGCTAACATAATGTCTTTATCTTCTTTAATTTTCCTTAACATAGCTATTATAAAACTATATTTAGTATGGCGCGTGGGTACAACAATTTACTTTTTGTTTGAATATTCAAATAATGCTTGGTAAAAATCTTTGATCATTTCTTAAGTGATTTTGTTCCTCCTAAAATTCTTTGAATATAGGCATGTGAGCAGCAGTGACAGAGTGGGCAAGCCTTACCGTGGTGTAAAACCTGTTTTCAGCATTGGAGATGAAGAAGAATATGACACAGGTGTAGTAATACACTTATCTACAGCTGGCTTTGCTCAGTCACCAGGAGAGGTTATGGACGTCATTCTGGGACTAGACGAACAACTGCTTTTTTTGTGATGAGATTTTGTAGACAGAATTGGAAAATCTGTGGCTTTCTATTAAGAGTTTGATTTTAGACATCTTAAATTGTGTCTATTAGAAATCCAAGCAGAAATGTTGAAAACACAGTTGATTTTAGGAGGCTTCAGCTGAGGGGAGAGGTCTAAGCTGATGATAATTTGAGGGCTGTCAGTGTAGAAATAGAGACCCTTTGATCACTCATTTAGGAGATGGAGAGTTGTGGGACTCAAGTTCAGAGAATTCCAAAATTGAGGCATCTGAAAAAGAGCCTTTTGAAATGGAGGAAATATCCTGAAGGGCCACAAGATGGAGATACTGTGTCAGGGAAAATGTGTTGTCTTCTCTGGGGTTCTTTCTTTATGTTTCTAAAAATAATTGAGTCTTTGGTTTGTAATTCCACTGCCCAGATTATCCTAATACAGTAGTCATAATTAATGGGGTTAATATGTCTGTTGAGTTTGAACAAAACCAATATATAAATGTACAGAAAGGGGAAAAAAGACTCCTAAACCTACCTTGACTTTTCCGTGTAGTAACACCTGCTGCAGACTTTCAGTTTCAACTCTCACACATTCTCATTCTCTTCTATCATATAAACATACCACACTTTGACACTGACTTTCCAGGTTTTTTTGTTTCAAATGGTAATGATTCTTTTTTTACATATATCTAGATTAACTTTTAAAGTATATCCAGAGGGTAAATTCTTAGCAGTAAGATTGCTAGATTATAGGGAATCACATTTGGCTTTTTAATAGATATTATAAAATCACTATTCAAAGGACTTGCATAGAGGTAAATGTACTGTTTCTAGTGGTTTATTTTTCTTTTTTCTTTCTGTTGCCATTATTTCTGCTATCTATCAGTCTCTGTCTTTTCCTGAATATCTCAACTTCTTCCATTAACAAAGAGAGGCAAATGGATAAGTAAATTGTGCTATATTTACATTTATCATATTTACTTGCACTATGGAAAATTAGACCATAATGAAAGTGAAACAACTGGAATTATGTGTGTATCAGTGTGCATCAGTTTCATAGTGTTGGGAGTCGGGTAGCAGTTGTGGAAGAATGCAGCTGAGGAGTCTACTTTATATATATATTTTGTTTAAACTGCAAAACTTCACCGTATATATTATTTAGGAATATTCATATGTGGTTAAGTAAATACGTGTATGGAAATGATAACAAATTCAGATAATCAGTAGTTCTTGGTGAGGATGAGAGGGGAATGTGAGTGGGAAGAGATACATAAGGGCTTTACTTTTATTTAAGCTGCAGTATGGATACATGAGATTTCCTTTTTCATTATCTCTTATATTTTAAAGTATTTATTAGAAAGCAAAGAACATTTATAATCATTAATACTAGACTGTAATTCCTCTTTCTTAAATTAGAAAAGCAAAATGATTAATATATTTTATATTTATTTTATTTGGAAAAAAACTAGATTTTTACTTACTTAGCCCAGGATAATTTTATTGGCGTTTTTCTTAAAAATCTGAAACCAGCAAGATAAAACAAACTTGGCTGTCTTTACTCCCAACATAGATGCTTATTATTGGACAATTTAGCCATCTCTTTGCAGACTAATTAGGTCATAGTTATCTATATTAAAAAGTTGGAAATTAAGCCGGGCTCGGTGGCTCAGCCTGTAATCCTGCGCCTTTGGGAGGCTGAGGTGAGTGAATTGCCTGAGCCCGCGGGTTCGAGACCCGCCTGGGCAGTGAGACCTCATCTCTACAATAAATCAAAAAATCAGCTGGGTGTGGTGGCGCATGCCTGTAATTCCGGCTACTCGGAAGGCTGAGGCGGAAGGATCGCTGGAGCCCAGCAGGCCGAGGCTGCGGTGGCCGGGAGCGGCCACTGCACTCCAGTCTGGACGACAGAGTGAGACTCCAACTCAAAAAAAAAAAAAAAAAGTTGGAAATTATCCAAATAGTTTAGTCTTTAAAAGTGCATTCTTAGCTGGGCTCTGTGGCTTAGCCTGTAATCCCGTGCCTTTGGGAGGCTGAGGTGAGTGGATTGCCTGAGCCCGTGGGTTCGAGACCCGCCTGGGCAGCGAGACCTCATCTCTACAATAAATCAAAAAATCAGCCAAGCGTGGTAGCGCATGCCTGTAATTCCGGCTACTGGGAAGGCTGAGGCGGAAGGATCGCCGGAGCCCAACAGGTCTAGGCTGCGGTGGCCGGGAGTGGCCACTGCACTCCAGTCTGGGCTACAGAGTGAGACTCCAACTCAAAAAAAAAAAAAAAAAAAGTGCATTCTTAATATTTCACCTTTTTTGCCATGTGAAGTGATGTTTCATAATAATATTTCTGTGTTAGTATCAGTGGCATAAGGAAATAGAGTAGCGGGATTAGAATTGATTGGGTTTTTTTTTCAATCCATATGTTCAAAAGACTGAAACTTTTTTATGCTGTTAAGAAATGTGTCATTTTAAAAGTTGGTAATAGTCACATTTAACACTTTAAATTCTTTGTAGATGAAATTGACAGTTCTTCAATGTCAGATGATGATAGAAAGGAGGTTGTAAACATTCAGACTTGGATAAACAAGCCAGATGTCAAACATCATTTTCCTTGTAAGGAAGTGAAAGAAAGTGGACACATGTTTCCTAGGTACTTTTTAAAATGTCTTTTTCAGAAGTAAAATTGAAATGGGGAAAGTTAGTAATATAATACTGAACTGCAGAAGATCTTTTATTTATCCAAGTACTGTAAGATATAATTTCCTTTTTACATGTGTGAATTTGTTACAAAAAATGTATTTCTGTTGACTTATATGTCTTGAATCTTAAAATATTTCTTACATAACTTTTATTTTGAAAAATTGTAAGCAAAAATATTGAAGAAATAGTACATTGACCCCCTCCTAGATTCATCAGCTGTTAGTACCTTTATATACCACCCCATGTGTGTACGTGTGTATGTCTATTACCCACATACACATGCACTTCTCTTTTGTCAAACCATTGAAAAGAAGCTTACGGATGTGATATTACACCCCTAATTGTTTCAGCATAAATCTCCCAACCATGTGAACATTCTCCTAACAACTCCAAGGCCAGTCCCCCACCAAAAATTAGTTTTTAATTAGCAGTATTTAACATACAGACTGTACTCAAAATTTTCAGTGTCCTTAAAGTATTCTTTATAGTCTGTGTTTTCTTTTTGATCCAGGATCCAGTTCATGGTTCACACATTGCACTTGTCTCTCACTCCACTGCCCAGGCTGGAGTGCAGTGGCACGCTCATGGCCACCGTAGCCTCAGCCTGCCCAGTTTAGGAGATCCTTCCGCCTCAGCCTTCCAAGTAGCTGGAACTACAGGGGTGCACCACCATGCCCAGCTAATTTTTTGATTTATTGTAGAGACAAAGTCTTACCAAGTTGTCCAGGCTGATCTTGAACTCCTGAGCTCAGACAATCCTCTTGCTTCCACCTCCCAAAGTGCTGGGATTACAAGCATGAGCTGCTGTACCCAGCCTTTTATATCTGTTTAATCTCATCCAAAGTATAACAGAATTCACCCCCTCATCCATTCACTTCCCTTTTCTCTTCATGATGAATGAATTCTTTGAGTCCAGGCTATTTGTCCTAAAGAATGTTTCACATCCTGGACTTGTCTTATATTACTATACATAAAATAGTATATTAAAAGTGAGATGAAATACAAGGGAGGTATTAATTCTCATTTTACTTTCAGAATCCAGTAACAGATTACAAAAATATGTAGAGAAACCCAACTGTTGCCTAGTGATCTTAGATATTAGATATGAGATATGGTGTATTGAATAATAGTTTTTAAACATAGAGATACCATAAAAATTGGGAAAGTATATTCAATTTCAATTATGTATTATTTTCATGATTTCTATATTGTACTTTTTCTTATAAATATACCTTTTCTCTTAGTTGTAGAATTATCTGTTACTAAAACAATTTTACATACAGTTAAAGGTAAATTAAGAGCTTCTGTTATATAGTTTGCTTACTTATAGATTATCTTCTGTTTATGTTTTTTAACTCACAAGTAATTTCACTTAGAGTTGAGCATTTTTTATAATTGGGGCTAGTGAAACAGCACCTGTTTTGGATTGGAATTATTTAAAATTTTTTCCTTTAATGCTCTTTTTTCTTTCAAGTCATCTGTTGGTTACTGCAACTCATATGTACTGTTTAAGGGAGATTCTTTCACGGAAAGGATTGGCTTATATACAGTCTCGACAAGCACTAAATTCTGTTGTTAAAATTACATCCAAAAAAAAACATCCTGAGCTCATTACCTTCAAGTATGGAAATAGCAGTGCTTCAGGAATTGAAATCTTGGCAATCGAAAGGTAAGATTTTCATTAGGATGGTATTATCTGAATTACTGCAATTCACTGTTAAGCACAATTTGTTTCTCTCTTTTGGGGAATTAATGGTAGAATAGGATAGTTGAACCTCTTTTTGTTTTCTGTTATTTATTTTCTCCTCAATCTTTAGTCATATGTGTTTTAGCCATTAGTACATGATTTCAGCAAGTGCTATAGCGAATTTCATAAACTTTCTGACCCAAGGGTCCATAAGATTATTCTACACCAGTGCTTCACTAAATGCTGATTTGTAAATAAAATAAAATAAGAAACTTGTCTCAGAATGTAGGTCATTGTTTTTATTTTCCTTCATCAAAAAAGTCTTGTTTTCACAAACTGTCCCTGAACTGAATGCTGTTGCTGAGTGATTAGTTAATTTACAATCTGGTACAAGTTCCTCCTGAACTCATTGAAGATCAGTAACAAGACAGCTCACAGACTGGCACAAAGGCTGTATATATACCCACTGGTCTTGATACTCAACCATCTTTATAGATAAAAATATGAAGCCCAGAAGGGTCAAATGACTTTGCAGATTTTGACACCTACCTTGTGATAGATATAGCTCTCCTGACTCCTGATCTGTGGTTTATTCCACCTTGTGTCAATTCTAATTGTTTTGAGATTTGGGGTTACACTTCTTAATCGCCTACAGGAGTACTTGAATAAATAGTAAGGTTAAGGTAATGTGTGAGCACGTTTAAATCATCAACTTTAATTGGAAGGGAAAATTAATTCAGCCTCTTTCATCTTTTATAGACTACTGGGTAGCAGAAGTCATGACTCTACTGTTTTATGTACCTCATTAAAAGTAATGCCTATTTTTAAAAAATAAAAGTCACTTTATTGTTTTATGCAATAACATTTACATTGTGAAAATATTTAAATAATAAATAAAAATATAAAGAATATGTCATCTAAATTCTACCCTGTTAACACTTTTGGTGAACATCTTCTCAGATATCTTTGTATGCATTTGTATTCCTTTGTTAAATTAACATGATACAGGATTGTTTTTGTGTTCTGATTTTTATATTTATAGTGTAAATATATTTACATTTTAATAAATATTATTTCTTAACTTTTTAATGATAGATATTCTGTTTTAAAAATATTCTCAGGCCAGGTGTGCGATGGCTCACGCCTATAATCCCAGCACTTTGGGAGGCTGAGGCGAGTGGGTTGCCTGAGCCTGCGGGTTCGAGACCTGCCTGGGCAACTTGGCGAGACGTCGTCTCTACAATAAATCAAAAAATTAGCTGGGCGTGGTAGTGCGCGCCTGTAGTTCCAGCTACTTGGAAGGCTGAGGTGGAAGGATCGCCGGAGCCCAGCAGGTTGAGGCTGCGGTGGCCGGGAGCGTACCACTGCACTCCAGTCTGGGCGACGGAGTGAGATGCCAATTCAAAAAAAAAAAAAATTCTCAGAATTGATTTTAAAATATTCTCACAGATTGATTTCTGTGATTGGAATTTAGATTGTTTAATGTTTTACTATTAATATTCTTTTAATGGATCTTTAAAAAAATTAACATTTATAAACTTGTCCACAATTAGTCTTCCCAGGATACAAGTGTGTACATGTAGATTCAGTGGGTTAGAGGATATATACATTTAATATCTACTTAAAATTAATTCTAACTAAAGGATGTTTGGATTATGACTCTTTTATGTATGGTAGTAGTTAAGAATTATGTTTTTAAGGTTTTTCCACAAATTTTACTAAAGGAATTAAAGCTTATTATATATTGATTAGCATTTTTAAAAATTCAAAGTTATAGAAGATAGTCATAGTAATAGTTGAGGGTAAATTAACTAGATTCTCCCTCTTCCTTGAACTAGGATATTTACAGTTATCTATACTATCTTGCATATGTAGTATAGGTGATTTATACAGTGAAATTATTTTATTTTATTTTTTTGAGTTGGAATCTCATTCTGTTGCCCAGGCTGGAGTTCATTGGCACGCTCACAGCCACTGCAGCCTCTGCCTACTGGGTTCAGGCAATCCTTCCACCTCAGCCTTCCAAGTAGCTGGAACTACAGGCACATGCCACCACACCTGGCTAATTTTTAAAATTTATTTTAGAGACACGATCTCCCCAAGTTGCCCAGGCTCGTCTCAAACCCGTGGGCTCAGGTAATCCTCTTACCTCGAACTCCCAAAGTGCTGGGATTATAGGCGTGAGCCACCATGCCTGGCCTCAGTGTAATTTTTTGTAAGCTTTCATAGAATTTAAAAAAGTATATTTTTATGCTTCTGGAAAAGAAAATGGATATTTAATCTGTGGTGTTTATATTTTATAATAATAACTATGTATTTTTTTTTTAATATTTCACCTCCTATAACAATATTTTATTTCATATATAACCCTCTATAAACAGGGATGACTCTATCTTTTTTTTTTTTTTTTTTTTTGAGTTCGAGTCTGACTCTGTCGCCCAGGCTGGAGTGCTGTGGCACACTCATCGCCATCCCAGCATTGACCTGCTGGGTGCCGGTGATCCTTCTGCTTCAGCCTTCCAAGTAGCTGGAACTACAGGCATGCGCTATCACACCCGGCTAATTTTTTGATTTATTGTAGAGACGACGTCTTGCCAAGTTGCCCAGGCTGGTCTCGAACTCGTAGACTCAGGCAATTCACTCACCTCAGCCTCCCAAAGTGCTGGGATTACAGACTGAACCAATAAGCTTGACCTTTTTTTTCCTTTAATATGGGAATCTATTTTAGTGAACTTAAATTATTTGCTCAAGGTCCAACTGTTAAGTTGGAGTTGTTATTGTCTTTGAAATTTAATCTTGTGTTTTATTATATAGCTATTATGTATATTTAATAATGGTTAAAAGAGTTTTAGCTTTTCTGTGTGAAAAATCTTATTGCCTTTACACTTAGGTTTTCTTTCTTTCGAAATAAGGTTTCGAGTCTATGTTGAAATAAGGTATGGCCAGTGTCTAGGAGGCATCTTTGCTGGCTTTGCGGGTTAGGAAAAGCTTCCCATTGAGGTGATGTCTCAGCTGTCTTGAGAGAGAAAGCACTGTATTAATATATGTATTTTTCCCCATAGGTATTTAATTCCAAATGCAGGGGATGCCACCAAAGCCATAAAACAACAGATCATGAAAGTTTTGGATGCTTTGGAAAGTTAATATGAAAGAAAATTATTTAAAAAGAAATTAAGGCAACCAAGAGAAACATGGACATCTATTTCCTGACTAAATACTAACTGGAGACCTTTCATTTGCTCACAGGGCTGCTTGAATAGCAGGTGTAAGAAAGTATAAAGTATTATAATCAATCTCTGGACAGTTAAACTTTTTGTAAATTTTTCTTTTGCATTTTTGATTTTATAAAATGATTTATTATAAAGGTCAGTTATCACATGACTTTTAAGTAACTGACCCTGTGCCCTTATGGACTTATAAGGGTACGGAATGCAGTTCTGTTTTGAAGAGCTGTTTTAAGGGAACATGCATCACTTTCAGGTTTAAAAAAAGTGTATTCATATATATTTGCAATGTCTTCACTGAAAATTAGAGCTAGAATTAGTTGAAGAGACTTCACTTCCTTAATTGCTACATTTAGTTTTACCCACTGAGCAATATCAAAAATTAAAAATATAGGTTAACAATTAGCTCATTACTTCTGTTTTTCTTAAAAAGAGTGAAATCTTTTTAATGAAATGGATGAAGATTCCTGCCAACTCAAAATACAGTTCACCTGGTGAAATGTTGAAATGTCAGTTTCTAAATCAACCTTTGCTCCATTAGCTAATTATTTGGACACTTAATGCTTCAGAAATACTAAACTTCATATTAATGGTTTCTAAGGAGCAGTTAAAAGCATTATAATAAGTAGGTGGTAGGCATGTTAAGATTAAAATTAACATTTTGGGGACAGAACTGTATCTGTAAAAATGTCATTGGTCTTTATTGCAAGTGGCTTATTGGATTTAAGATATTTCAGAACAAGTGTCAAACACATTGATTTATCATCATTGGGATTATGATCTGTGACGATACTAATATCCACTTAAGAAAAGCCAATAGTCAGAGAGCTGTATAAACTACAATTGTTTTTATCATCACTTTCTGAAATTTCTTTATTTTGGCTTTGTCTTCTTATGAAAGTTCCAGTGGTTTGAAACTATTTTTATTATCTTAACATGACAAAACTGGAAATTGCTCTGCTTTATTTTACAGCTTTGTCAATTTAATTTATAGTGGTCCATATTCGATACATTTGACAAGAGAAATCCAGGAACACGTTAGGGGCTATGCAATGACTCTTCATAAAACCTATCCGGGAAGTAGCAATGCTTGGGAAGATTTTTTGTAAAGCCTTTTTGAGAAGTAGCAAAGTCACAATCTGCCGTGTCCTAAAATGTAATGGATTATCAATATGGGGTTGGTAGGAGAAATATTTAGATGTACCCTGTTAACAGCCGGCTATTTTGATTTACTTAATGAAATCAAGTGAAAAAAGAAAACATAATTCAAGAAATTTTATGCTAATATCTAATAAAAACAGTTTGAGTGGTCGAAGATATTTGCATGAAATTGCACCTAGTGCGATACTTGATGATATAACTCTCCTCTAAAACTGTTTTATTGCATTTTTCCTCTCTTCTTGGCACTCCTCTGGAAACGTCCTGAAGTTTCACTTTTTGCCCATTACAGCCATGGGACGTTTTTCATAATATTAATGTAAAGATGTTTGTGTTACTGTTTATAAATACAATTGTAAATAAATCAATACCGTTTGCTCAAAACTTTGTTCTTAAACATAGTGACACTCTTTCCTTCTTTTCCCTATTTGCAAATCTCTTGAGGCTACAAAATTGGAAAATTGAAGTCTGTTCTGTTAGTAGCATTTAAATGCTCAGATTTCAGGTATTTCTGTTCACCTAGATGGGAGGGATAAAGAAGTAGTTTAGACTGTCACAGCCTCTCACGCCTGTAATCCCAGCACTTTGGGAGGCAAAGGTGAGAGGATTGCCTGATCTTGGGTGTTCAAGACCAGCCTGGGCAACTTGATGAGACCTCATCACTACAATGAATCCAAAAGTTAGCCACGGCTTGGTGGTGCACGCCTGTAGTCCCAGCTACTTGGAAGGATTATCTGAGCCCAGCAGGTCAAGGTTGCAGTGGCGGTGAGCGTACCACTGCTCTCCAGCCTGGGCAACAGAGTGAGACTCTGACTCAAAAAAAAAAAAAAAAAAAGTAGTTTAAGCTAGTTTAAATGAATGACACTAAATTCCACATGTAGTAAACTGCTGCCTGAATTGTACTATATAACTTCTGTGAGCTTTGATTTTTTCATCTTAAATAGCACTACAGTTACAAGATTATTCATGGCTATTAAATGAAAATTCATTTCATTGAATATACTAGGCACTTACATAGCTCATCCTCTCATCACTGGCCCACTGATTACAGAATTGGGATTCACTCTGGGGTGTCTGTCTCTCATGGACTCTCAAAAATTTCAGAGGTTGCAGCACCATGAAGTTACTGTTATTTTCTGTATTTTCAAGATTAGGAAACTGAGGTTCAAAGAAATTAAATGAGTGAAAAGAGAAATTATCTCCTCATCTCTCCACACTCCCTGGGAATTAGTATTGCTTAAGAAGGTATAAAATTAAGTCTCTATATGGAATTGGATTCCACTTTCCCATCATGAGTAAAATTTGCTTTCTAGTAGGGATGATAAGGTTGTGCTGACATGTTCAACCATTTTCACCACTAGTGTGTTTCATCCGGGACCTTTAACTCCTTAGCATGATATTCTAACGTTTTAAAGTAACCAGTCATAAATTGGCAGTTCTAGTTAACAGTGACAATTTGATGTGAGGGGAGCCCAACCTTACAGGTTGAATGAGTAATGAAAGTAATATCTCAGTTTTATCATTAACATTGTGAACTTAAAAAAAAATCCTTATTGAGATATATAATTCACATGCCATAAAGTTCACCCTTTTAATCATCTATAATTCAGTAGTTTTTAGTATATCCACAGAGTTGTGCAACCATCACCACTATTTAGTTATAGAACATTTCATCATTTCTAAAAACAAAAAACCTCATACCTATTAGCAGTCACTCTCCTGTCCCTCTTCTCTCCAGCCCTTGGTGAACATTAATCTGCTTTCTGTCTCTATAGATTTGGCCTGTTCTGGACATTTTTAAAAATAAAAATATGTGATTTTTTTGTGTCTGGTTTCTTTCATTTAGCATCATCCGCATTGTAGCATATATCCAAATTTCATTTTTGTGACCAAATAGTATTTCATTGTATGGAGATACCACATTTTATTTATCCAACAGTTCATCACCTGATGGACATTTGGGTTGCTTTCACTTTTTGGCTACTATGAAAAATGCTCTGCAAACATTTGTGTACAAATTTTTCTGTTAATACACCATATGCATATATATCTATTAATATACATATGTTAGTATTCACAATTAAAGAGGTGTCTATATATTACTTTTAGTTTGCCATAATCAGAAGTGTCTGGACACTGATGGTAATCACTTTGAATACCTCTTGTAATTGCAGAAATCAAACATGACTTGTATTCAACTTTTGTTACTGGTATATATTATTACAATTTTAATACAGTTTTTTCCTTTCTTAAAATGTGTATACATTTTTTTTGGCACCCTCGATATGTTTTCAGTTCTCTTGGATATATACCTAGGAGTATTATTACTGGACCATATGTCAATTTTACAGTCATGTTGGCAATACATGAGATTTCTAATTTTTCCACTAGCTTGGCAACACTTGCTATTGTCTGTCTTATCGATTATAGCCATCCCTAGAGTAACTACTGTGAACTCACAAGCTCACTAACAGTTCTCAAGCTCGCTAACAGCACAAGGAAAAAAAGTTACCTGTTATTCATGTCAGTGGATTTGAAAGAGATAGGCACATCTCTGGAGTTAATTGTTACTATATATCAAAGGTTTCCAGAACTTTGATTAAGGAAGCATTTTCCTGATTGTTGAAAGAATAACAGTTACAGTCATCTATGCCTGCTAGAAAGTTATACAGTGTAGTATGTGGTATGCAGTGTTTTGTAATTCTATTATAATAAAAATAAAATGGAAAATAAAAAAAATAGACCCACACAAATAATGGGTAATTGTTTTCTGGCAAAGGTTCAAAGACAATTCAATTGAGAAAGGATAGTGCTTCCAATGTAGTGGTGTTGTAGCAACTAGATATCCATATGCAAAGAAATGAACCTTAACTTATCCTTCACACCTTATACAAAAGTTACCTCAAAATCGATCATATTGCTAAATGTAAAATGTAAACCTATAAAACTAATAGAATAAAACATAGGAGAAGTTTTTTATGATTTTAGGTTATCCCTCAGTTCTTAGATATAATATACAAAGCACAATCCATAAAAAAATTTAAAAATAAATTTATCAAAAATTTTAAAATTTTGCTCTGTAAAAGACACTGTTAATGAAATGGAAAGACACACTACGTACTAGGGAAAAATACTCTTTGCAAAACACATCCCACAAAGGATTTGCGTTCAGAATATACAAAGACTTCAATACAACAATAAGAAAAGAAAAAATGGGCAAGAGACTTGAAGCATTTCTTAAAATATGTATATATAAGGGAGAATATAGATAGATGACAAATAGGCACATAAAAATGCTCAACAATTAAAAACAACAGCAAAAAAAAAAAAAATGCTCAACATTACTAGCCTTAGGGAGATGTAAATACAAACCACAATGAGATGCTACTACATACCTACTAGAGTGGCTAAAATTAAAAAAAACAAACAGCTGATGGCAATACAAAGTGCTGGTAAGGATACAGAGCATCTAGAACATTTATACGTTGCTGGTGGGAATACAAAATGGTATAGGCACTGTAGACAACAGCTTGGCAGTTTCTTACAGATTTATCATACAACCTAGCAATCTCTCTCCTAGGTATTTATCCTAGAAAAATGAAGTGTTCACACACAAGAGCTCTTGGTCATAACTGCCATACTATTCCACCTCTGTTGACACAGTAAACCAGAGCTAGTGGCCCTCAGTTCAGGACTCGCTTTTTTTTCTTCAGTTGCCAGCTCTGCTCCATAGATACCAGTCTACCTGTTTATTAAATTGCTCTCCCTACATTATATAACTTGCCCAAAGTCACATGGCCTCTCAGCAAAGGTTTGAAGTCAGGTCATCAGATCTGTAGACAACTGCATCAGAAATCTAAAGATTCCACGTATATATAAATGCATGTGTTTACTGATGTACACACGTACACACACACACACACTCGGACTTCTTCCTTTACAAAGCTCTAATCCAAAGTAATTCCTAACTTGAATCCCTTGCTTTCTGTAGTATCATACTCTCCTAGGATTGTATCTACTCATAGATTTCCGCTTTTATTCTGTACAAATGACACCCATTCTTTCTGATCTTCAGCCCTTTGTTTCCAACTGCTATTAGTCATTTGCATATCCACCTCATTCCCCAGGACTGAATTCCTGTTTCCCCAGACTCACCTAATACCATAAAGGAGCAATTAGAGGAAGGCTGTAAGAGACCAGTTGTAGTACTTGTAGCAGGCCCCCGAAGTTGAGGAAGGCCTAGCTGTAGATGGTGGTGGTGGGAACCAAAAGAAGACAGCAGGGACGTTTCATGAGTATAAGAAGGACCCTGTCCCTAACCAGAGGAGGGAATTAAAGATTTGAAAGTCATAGAAATGACTGATTTTTTTGCAGGGTTGGGAGCAGGGAGAATTGGAAAACTGGGCATATATTGTGGTGCCTATGAGTAATAGCTGGGAGGAGAAGCCCTTTTGGAGATATTGAGCTTGAATGATATTAAGACGTGTAAATAGAGATCACACTGGCAGCTGGACATGCTGAAACAGTTCCTGTGGAGGGAAAACAGAGATCCGAACAGCGCCAGCCTGGAAATGGTCACTAAAGCTGTGAGACATGGATAGCAATGGGAATAGAGACTGAAAAGGAACACCAGATTTTTAACTGGGGCTTTCAAGATCCATTTGATCTAGTAAGTTTATTTATTCATTCATTTATTTATTGCCTCTTTTCAAATGTCAGATGAAAGGGAACAGGGAAATGAAGGCAAAGCTGCTATGGTTGGAGCAAGGAGTGGAGTGCTGGTAGGGAGGGCTGCACAAACCGCCCTTCAGCCTCCTCCTCTCCCTTGCCTCTAATATGCTTTACATACAGATGAAAGACCCCCAGGGTGAGGTGATTTGCCCTAGGTATTAATAGCAAATGAGTGGTGAATCAAGCCAGAACTAGAATCCAGTGACTAGCTTTTCCATGATGCCCAAAGAATTCTAAGAAATGTCTTAAAAATGCAGTTTCATTTTCATTTACCTTCTCTAGACACAATCCCTAGTGTTCAAGTCAGCAGCTTCCCTGCAAGTGATGGAGGGACACAGCAACCCACAGGCTCTGGGTCTCCTGGTCCTACTTCCGATGGCTCCATTCCAGGCTCCGCAGGCCCCTCTTCTGCATGCATCTTCCACAGTCCACTTGCGTGTTCTCGTCCCAATTCAGAGCTTCATCTTTGTTAAACTGCTAATGCGTCCTAAGTCCGTCTCCAGCCCAGACATCATCTGAGCTTGAGGCTTATGTCCAACTACCTACTGGGCATCTCTTGAATGTTCTACAAGCACTTTAAATAACATGTCCACCCAGGTGTAGGGCACTATTAGATACAACCTTATGCCGGTAAAGTTGGAAATCTGGATGAAATGAATGACTTTT